TAAATCTCCATTAAAAAATTTTGTTTTAATGAATTTTCTAATCAACCTAAAACAATCTGGAAGTCAGGATTTATTTAAGGTTACTCAAATGTCATCAAGTAGATACCAGTTTATGGCAACTCTACAGGATAGGGTAGAACTGCTCCATAACCTTTCTAAGATTTTCATTTTTATGGAAGCAAACAGTAACATCTTGTTTCCTGGGAGCTGCTGGTTGGTTCTCACTGCTGAACAAGCATTTGACCACTATGCCACTATAGCTACTCATGCTTAAGGTCACAAGCAAGAAATGTGGACCAAGACTCATATGAACAGTTAATACAGTATCTTTGAATAATAAGTAAGTGAATATAATTCTACACCAAAAAGGTTTTTTGATAAAAGACATAATTTTTCATAATTACATTCTAACCAAAATTTTTACATTTTTATCCATTTAATAATTAAGGAATCTGGAGGCTTTTTCTGTTAAACTATAATGAATTATTAAATTATCTGTTCTGATTCAACAAATAAGAAAATCAAACCAATATATTTATAGTCAAGTCATATCCTTAGCTGTAATACATCTGAAATCAGTGTTTAACTTCTAAAAAGTTGCAGTTACTTTTTATTAAGACTTTAAAATCAACTCAGATGTTATATTCCCTGGGAAATCTTCCTTGAACTTCTTTTCTCTATGTTCTGATAATTCCCTAATCATTCTTCTCTTACAACCCTAACCATTTGTTTTTTATAACACATTTCTCTGCATTTTCTTCTATCCTATGATCTTGAGAGGATCTATTTTATTTATAGAATCCTTGCTGCAATCCTGAATGCACACAATTCAAATACACTAGCTGCTCCACAGGAGAAGGATGGGCAATCTCCTCCCGTGTGATTAACTGCCTCTAAAAACCTGCTGGATGGTCAACTATGGGTTGGTATCTACTTGACAGTACGCAACGACAACAATTCTTGCTACAGTGAGCTCTGGTAGCCTACCAGTAAGGAACTGTACTGCAAACTCAAAGGCACATGGTTCAAATTCAAATGTTCCACAGGGGAAAGATGGGCAATCTCCTCCCAGGTGATTAACTGCCTCTGAAAACCTGCTGAAGGGTCAGCTATGGGTTGATTCTGACTCAACGGTACACAACAACAACAACATAAGATCTCTTCTTAGTCTTTTAAATCTGATTTGAGGAGGCAAATTATACATTCAGTGCTGTTAGCCATTTTTAGTTCAGCTATGTGACAAACACTGTGACAAAAAATAAACACAAAAGAATATGATAAGTATATATGATAAGAGATCCAAGACTATAAACAACAAAAGAAATTACATTAGCACAATCAAGGTAAAAATCAAACCAGAATGAGACAATATTCATTTAAGTTTAAAAATTTTTAAAAGGATAGAAGGAAAAGGGTCAAGATAACATAAATAAGTAGGATATGGAAAGTTTTAGTCTTATATTGGTTCAATTACATAGAGAGGTTGTAAAAGAAAACTTTTTTAAAAACAACACTCTAGATTCAAACTGTGTAGATTCAAATCTATTAGTTATGTAATCGTGGAAAAGTTACTTAAGCTCCCTGAGCCTCAAATTCCATATATGAAATATGAGATTAAAATCAGTTACCTATGTCATACACAGTCATGGCCATAGAGTCAGGACCAACTCATACCTGACCAGCCACTGGGTTTCCAAGACTGTAAATTACACAAGAGGAGACTGCCCATCTTTCTCCCACAGAGCCACTGGTGGGTCTGAATAACCAAGAAGTGTCACCTTGGGTTAGTTGAGCAACTCCCTGCATACTATGCCATCAGAGCTCGTAAGCATCTATGTCATAGAGTTGTTATAATGATTAAATGAGTTGGTACTTAGAAATAGAGAAGGACCAGCAGTTGGAAAACATGGACTTGGTGACAGAAATGAAGCCGGAGATAGAATGACAGAATATTGCACAATCAATGACTTATTCATTGGAAATACATTTTATAAGAAACACAAATGCAGGCTATGCACATGGATTTCCCCTGATGGTATTCATAGGAATTAGATCGATTACATCTGTGGAAAGAATCAATGGAGAAGCTCAATATCAGCTCAATATCACCTAGGCCAGGTGCTGATTGTGGAAAGACCACCAAGTACTCGTATGCAAGTTCAAGCTGAACCTGAGGAAAATTAAATCCACAGGAACCAAAATAGGACCTTGTGTCTGTCCCAACTGAATTTCAAAACCAGCTCAGGAGCAGGTTTGAGGCCTTGGACATTAATGAGTGAAGACCGGAAGAACTGTGGGGAGGATATCAAGAATATCATCCAGGAAGAAGGCAAAAGGTCATTACAAAGACAGAGGAGGAAGAAAAGACCAAGATGGATGTCAGAAAAAACTCTAAATATTGCATTAAATAAAAAGCAAAGGAAGAAATCAAGATATTAAGGAGATGAACAGAAGATTCCAGAGGGCAGCACAAGAAGACAAAGTAAAATACTACAATGAAATGTGCAAGAAACTGGAGTCAGAAAATCAAAAGGGCTGAACTCGCTTAGCATTTCTTAAGCCGAAGGAATTGAAGAACAAATTCAAACCTAGAATTGCTAGGGATGCTTTGAGCAGAAAATTAAATGATCCAGGAAATATTAAAAGAAGATGGAAAGGGTATACAGAGTCATTGTACCAAAAGGAATTGGTGGACACAGAAGAATTTCATGAAACAACGTATCAGCAAGAGCCTGTGGTCATGAAGGAAGAAGTTCAAACAGCTCTGAAAGAACTGGCAAAAACCAATTCAAACATATTTCAACAAAGAGATGCTGCCCTGGGTGTGCTTATCAAATTGTACCAAGAAATCTGGAGGACAACAACCTGGCCTATAGATTGGAAGAGGTCTATATTTGTTACCATTCCAAGGAAAGGTGATCTGACAAAGTGTGAAAATTATCGAACAATATCATTGACATCACATGCAAGCAAGATTCTGCTGAAGATCATTCAAAAACAACCAGAACAGCACATTAACAGAGAACTGCCTGAAGTGCAGGCTGGATTTACAAGAGGCCATGGCACTAGTGATATTATAGCTAACGTGAGGTGGATCTTGGCTTGAAAGTAGAGAGTATCAGAGGAATGCCTATCTGAGTTTCATTGACTATGCCAAGGCATTTGACAGTGAGGATCACAACAAACTGTGGCTGACTCTGAGAAGAGCGGGAATCCCAGTATACTTGATTGTGCTTATGCAAAACTTTTTCTTAACCAGGAGGCAGCAGTGAGAACAGAGCAAGGAAACACTGCATGGTCCAAAATTGGGAAGGACGTGCATCAAGCATGTGTCCTATCTCCATATCTTTTCAATCTATATGCAGAACAGATTATTCAGGAGGCTTGGCTCTATGATGAGAAATGTGGCATCAGGATTGGAGGTAGACTCATGAACAATTTGCATTACGCAGATGACACAACCCTGAATACTGAAACTGAAGAGGACCTGAAGTGCTTGCTGTGGAGGGTCAAGGACTGCAGCCTTCGACATGGAATGAAGCTCACCATAAAAAAAAAATTCACACCACTGAGCCAACTGGCAGCATCATGATGGATGATGAAGAAATTGAGATTGTTGAGAGCTTCAGTTTGCTTGGTTCTACAATCAACACTCTTGGTACCAGCAGCCAGGAAATTAAAAGATGAAATGCATTGGGAAAGTCTGCTGTCAGAGACCTCTCTAAGGCACTGAGGAGCAATGATGTCAGGCTCGAGACTAAGGCACTCCTGATACAGACCATGGTCGTTGCAATTATTTGCTATGCATCAGAGAGCTGAACAATGTCTAGGGATGACAGAAAGAGAAGCTGATGCCTTTGAGCTTTGGTGATGGAGAATAGTATTGAATATACCTTGGACTACTGGGAGAACAAACAAGTTTGTCCTGGAGAGGGTGAAGCCAGGCTGCTCCTTGGAGGCAAGGATTCTGAAGCTCCATCTGACATACTTTTGGACATGTTGCAAGGAGGGATCAGTCCTTCGAGTGGGATGTCATGCTTGGGAAGGGGGAGGGACAGCACAGGAGAGGAAGACCCTTGAGATGGACTGATTCAGTCACTGGGGTAATGGGGATAGGTAATGGGGTAATAAGATTGGCAAGGGATTGAGCAAGGTTTAGGGCTGTTGTACATAGGGTCTCTATGAGTCGTAAGCAACTCAATGGCACATAACACCACCACCACTTGTAAGCCTTTTAAAACAATACCTGAAATACTGCATAAGTCCATTATTGTGAAAATAGAAGGATAACTAGAAAGATGTGCATAAATGTCCAAAGAGGGAAATGGAGGGGAGGGGAGAGATTACTAGGGGGAAAACGTTTTTTAGAAAGAAACAAACAAAAAAAGTGTGTATGACTAATTAGATAGATGATGAAATTTATTGGAAACTTTCATGCATATTGTAATAAAAATAAAATAAAAAAACCCACCACCACCAAAAACATAATACCTGGCATATAGTAGATTCCATGCTAATAATATTAATGAATATTATTAAAGTATTAAGTTTAATTCAAAGTAACTTTCTTCAAGAAAGACAAGCCAGATATATTTAAAGAGAAGAAAATGTGTGACATAATTGAAGAGTATGATAAATCTATGCACTCTAGTAACCACAGGATCTAATCTTTGGAGCTATCTTCAGTTTATATACTCAAATATATAAGGGGGATTAGCTGGTGGTTTAATGGTTGGAAATATGCTGCCAACACAAAACTATATGGTTTAAATCCACCAGCTGCTCTGCATAGAAAGATGGGCAATCTTCTCCCATGCAATTTACTGGTTCTGAAAACCTAATGGTCAGCTCTGCGTTGGTTCCCAGGCGAAGGTGGAAATAAAGACAAATTACATAGATCAAATATTTAATAAACAAAAACCAAGGGATATGACAACTAATGTCTAATGCAATCTTAGTTGTATTCTAATAAGTTTCTTAAATATCTTTCTCTTAATTACCTGTGGTTATTTCTTCTGCATTTTGTAAGTCTTCTGTTTTAATAATTTGATCTAACATCTCTATAAAATGCTCCCTGATTTCTTCAGTTGACTCATCACCAAATTTGTAGTCACAAAACATTACAGTGGATCCAGGGATGGGTACAAAAACTCGGTGAGGAAGGATGTGGAACTCTTTTTCAGAGCCTAAAAAGAGAATAAACATTAGCAAAATTTAGATGTGTTCGCCTCTAGTATCAATGACACATTATTTTAGAAGTATATGATGGCTTTTATAAGAAATAAAGCCTAAAAGACCAATATGCATTTAGTTTAATAATTTCTAGTGTACATGGGGAAAACTGCTTATCCTGGATGCTGCTTTACTTCTATGCAACTTAATATTACTGTTTTCAATGTGAAGATGTTATAAACTACACATTATTTATAACCCAATCATTGTTCTATGAAGGAGGAACCAGAAGAGAACTGTTTCTTCCCTGTTTTTTTAAACAGTTGCCCTTCTTGTTTAACTTTATTGTAAATACTATGATGTGCCTGATGTAGGCCATGGTCTTTGCAATCACTTGCTATGTGTCAGAGAGTTGGACAATGACTAGGGAGGATAGAAGGAGAATTGATGCCATTGAGCTGTGATGCTGGAGAATAGTATTGAGGGTACCAAGAACTGCTAAGAAAACAAACAGATTCATCCTGGAGAGGGTTAAACTGGGTGGCTCACTGGAGGCAAAAATTCTGAAGCTTCATCTGACACACACTGGACATGTTGCAAGGAGGGACCAGTCCTTGGAGAAGGATGTCATGCTTGGGAGGGTGGAGAGACAGCACTGGAGAGAAAGACTCATGAGGTGGACTGATTCAGTGGTATAATGGGGGTAGGTGTGTCAAAGACAGTGAGACTGGCACAGGATAAAGTAGGTTTTAGGGCTGTTATACACAGGGTCACTATGAGTTGCAGGTGACTCAACGGCACATAACAACAACAACTATGAATTTTAAAATTAATTTTCCCTTCTTCAATATAAACCAATGGCCTACATACATCAAGAATATATGTTGTTGCTATGTGCCATCAAATTGCCTGCAGTTCATAGCAATCCTATGTACAATAGCTCTGTACTCTGTCCTATACTGAGCCAGTTGGACTCTGACACACCTACTCTTATTACCCCAGTTACTGTGTCAATCCATCTCATCTGGGGTCCTCTTCTGTGCTGCATTTCCACCCTTCCAAGCATAATGTCCTTCTCCAAGGTCTGGTCCCTCCTGGCCTCACAAAATATATGAGACAGAACTTCAAAATCCTTGCACCCTCTCCAAGGCAGACTTGTTTATTCTCTTAGCAGTCCATGGTATGTTCAATACTCTTCTCCAGCACCACAACACAAAGGCATTTATTCTTCTTCTATCATCCTTAGGCACTGTCCAGTCATCTGATGCATAGTAACTAATTGTGAAGACCATAGTCTGGATCAGAAACAACTTAGTCTCTAGACTGACATCACTGCTCTTTAGCACTTTGGAGAGGTTTCTGACAGCACACTTCACCAAGGCCATTCCCCAATGCAATGCAAGTTTATATAGTATCTATTTCTGTACTAATCTTACCAATGATTTCATCTCAAGCACTTTCAGTCACATACTGAACACTGAGACTATATTTTGTGCATCAATCTTACTACCAATTCCATTTTGCCCTACTTTTTATTTTCTTCTTGCTTCATTATTATTACTAATATTCATGTCATTGCATTACCTGCCTCTTTGCAAACAGCTAAAAGAATCTTTTAGAAAAACGAATTTAAATCTCTATAAAAGATAGATGAAGGATGTTTCATCCTTCTTTGAATATTTACAAGCTGGAGGATAAGAAATTCTCTCAATTAATACAAAGACTCATAGCTCACTTAAATACATAATTTCTGTTTGAAGACTATGAGTCTAATAAATTAGTAACAAAACAACAAAAAGGAATATATATTTTATATAAAGAATAAACTTAGACATGGACATGATTTTAAAAATTATCAACTTAGTATCAATTTTTAAGAACAAAGACTCTAAATGCCTTTTGTCAAGAAACCACTAGTAGCTTTATGGAATAACAGAATACTTTTTTATTTTTTTATGGAATAATAAAATTTTAAAAACAAAATAAACAAAATGCCTCAAATGTCTTGGGAAATGTGATGATTTACTTGCACTATGAGTACCTTCCAAAAGTCTGCCTATTTCTTGTTTGAATATAAAAATTGAGAGATTTACTTTGACTAGACTGCCTCCTAGCTGTAGAATTACATTACTGCAGTTTGTACTGTAGTATATTGTCTTTATATTAAAATGTTATGTATCATCAAGTTGCTTTCCATGCATAGCGACCCAATGTATAACAGCTCTGAATGCTACTCTATCTTGAGCCAACATTATTGCCCCTGACATACCTACTCCCATTACCCCAGTCACTGAGTCAATTCATCTCATCCAAGGTCTTCCTGTCTTATATTGTCCCTCCACACTTCCAAGCATGATGTCCCTCTCCAAGGACTGGTCTTTCCTGGTAACATGCCCAAAGTATGTCAGATGGAGCTACAGAATCCTTGCCTCCAAGAAGCAGCTTGGTTTCAGCCTCATTAAGATGAACTTATTAGTTCTCCAAGCAGTCTATGGTATATTCAATTATCTTCTCCAGCACCACAAGTCAAAGGCATCAACTGTCCTTCTATCATCCTTAGTCACTGTCAGCTTTCCGATGTACAGCAACTAAATGGAAAGACTATGGCTTGGATCAGGCACATCTTATTTTCCAGACTGACATCGTTGCTCTTCAGTATATATTATTTTGAGTTACAGTTCCTTGAAGCAGATAAAACTCAATACTTTCACAGCTGGTTAAAACGGGAATGAGTACCCATGGTGGACAGTGTTTGTTGGAGCTTCCCGATTAAAACAAGCCTGGAAGCAGGAGTGGCACCCACTTCCGAAATGGCTTGCCTCCTGAAAAATCTATGAACAGTGTTCAGGCCTTTCATTCATAGGGTCACTGTGAGTCGTCTAAGACTTGACAGCACCTAACAACAAAAATAACAACAACAATTGTTATTACTGTTGTGTGTGCTGTTGAGTTAACCAACCTGTAACTGACCCTCCCATGGGTTCACAGAGGCAGTAAATTTCACAGGAGGAGCTGGAGGTTTAGAACCATGTGCTTTTGGATTGGTAGCACACCGCCTTAGCACTAGGATATCAGAGCTCCCTGAATAAATGATTACCACAAAAAACTTAAAAATCATTTCAACAGGAAAGGACACCACCAAAATAGAAAAATATAGGCCAATACCTCTCATGAACACAGATGCAAAAATCCTGAATAAAATACTGGCCAATAGAATCCAATGACACATCAAAGAAATAATTCACCATGACCAAGTGGGTTTCATAACAGGTATGCAAGGATGGTTCAACATAAGGAAAACAATTAATGTAATTTATCACATTAACAAAGCAAAGAACAAGAATCACATGATCCTAGCAATTGATGCAGAAAGGGCCTTTGACAAAATCCAAAATGCTTTCCTGACTAAAACACTCAACAAAATAGGATTAGAGAGGAATTTCTTCAACATAGTAAAAAGTATTTATGCAAACCCGAGAGCCAACATCATTCTCAATGGAGAGAGGTTAAAGGCATTCCCTTTCAGAACAGGAACTAGGCAAGGATGACCACTCTCACCTCCCTTATTTAATACTGTTTTGGAAGTCTTAGCAATAGCAATAAGACAAGAGAAGGGAATAAAAGGTATCCAAATTGGCAAAGAGGAGGTAAAATTATCTCTCTATGCAGATGATATGATAGTATACTTAGAAAACCCTGAAGACTCAGCAAGAAAACTATTGGACACAGTGGACCAAATCAGAAAGTAGCAGGATACAAGATCAACATACAAAAATCAGTTGGATTTCTCTACAGTGACAAAGAGAATACAGAGCCAGCGCTAAGAAAAACAATACCATTCACAATAGCTAATCACAAGATTAAATACTTGGGAGTAAATCTAACCAGAAGCACAAAGAATCTATTCAAAGTAAATTACAAAACATTACTACAAGAAACAAAAAGAGACCTGGAGAAGTGGAAGAATATCCCTTGTTCATGGATAGGAAGACTCAATATTGTGAAAATGGCAATACTACCAAAGGCAATTTACACATTCAATGCAATCCCAATACAAATACCAATCCCATTCTTCAATGAGATGGAAAAGGCAATCTCCAGTTTCATTTGGAATGGAAAGAAGCCCCCAATAAGTGAAGCACTCCTTAAAAATAGAAGAAAGGTAGGAGGTATCTCACTCCTTGATTTCAAATCCTACTACACTGCCATGGTGTTTAAGAGAGCATGGTACTGGTGCAATGACAGACACATGGATCAATGGAATAGAACTGAGAACCAGGAGATCAGCCCATCTATCTATGGTCAACTGATTTCTGACAAGGAGATGAAACCAGTTAAGTGGGAAAACGACAGCCTTTTTAACAAATGGCATTGGCAAAATTGGAAAAGTATCTGCAAAAGAGTCAAGCAAGATCCACACTTCACTCCATATACAAAAACCAACTCAAAGTGGATCATGGACCTAGGACTAAAACCAAGGACTACAAGCTTCATTAAAGAAAAGCTTGGAAGAATGCTACAAGTCCTAATCCACAACATAAACAGTCTTGCAAGTATCCTAAAAAACCTACAACCAGGAGAAGATAAAATAAATGAATGGGATCTTCTAAGAATCAAATCCCTATGCACATCCAAAAACTTTTCCAACAGGGTAAAAAGGGAAGCCACAGACTGGGAAAAAGTATCTGGTAATGACATATCAGATAAGGCACTTATATCCAGAATTTAAAAAATACTTGAGCACCACAACAAGATAAAGGTAAACAATCCAATTGAAAAAATGGGCACAGGATATGAACAGACACTTAACCAAAGAAGACATTCAGATGGCCAACAAGCGCATGAAGAAATGTTCAAAATCCCTAGCTCTAAGAGAGATGCAAATCAAAACTACTATGAGAGATCATCTCACCCCAGTCAGAATAGCAAAACTTAACAGAACAGCAAGCAACAAATGCTGGCCAGGCTGTGGAGAAACTGGAACCCTTATTCACTGTTGGCAGGAGTCTAAAGTAGTGCAACCACTGTGGAAGGCAGTATGGCACTTTCTCCAAAAGTTGCAAACAGAGATACCATTTGATGCATCAATTCCACTATTGGGAATATACCCCAATGAGACCATAACTGATATCCAAGCAGATAAATGCACACCCATGTTTATAGAAGCTTTGTTCACAATAGCAAGGCGTTGGAAACAACCTAAGTGCCCATCAACAAAAGAATGGATAGAGAAGCTGTCATATATTCACACAATGGAATACTATGCTGCACTGAAAAACAAGGAACTCATGCTATATCATTCAAAATGGGCGACCCTGGAAGACATTATGCTGAGTGAAATATCTCAGTCACAAAAGGACAAATACTGCATGGTGCCACTGTTGTAAAACAGGACTGACGTTAGGGTTGGGGGGGAGACTGAGAAAGATGGGTTCAATAATGTATACTGCATTGAAACACATGAGGGAGAAAACTATTTTAAAAGGATATGTGATTAGGTATTTTTGTCATGACAGGAGTCCACAGAGAAGGCTGCATAGTGGAGTGGACCTGGGGGAAGGTGTATAAAACAATGAAAGAATTTTTCTTTTACTTTTCCAAGAAAGTAGTATACTAAGGGGGAGTTTTGGGAGGGGAGAAAAGTGTAACAATGAATAAATGGAAATCCAAAGTCTCTGTAAATTTTCATTGACATAAATAATAAATTTTTAAAAATTAAGGAAAAAAGGGGGGAAAAAACCCAAACTACAATGTATAAGAATGACTATATTAAACACAATGTGAATGAAGGAAAAGGTGAAATACAATGTATATGTATATGAATTTTGTATGCATACCAATATAAAATAAACAAATTTAAAAAAATCCTTTCAAACCACCTTAACTCTAGTTTTGCCTAAAAAAAGGGTAAACATGCTATAAAATGTTAAAAGATTGTAGTAATTTTTAAATTAATTATGAAAAATATGAAGAAAATGTAATCTTCAAATTAGTGAGTTAGTTTAGCAATTTAGTATATCACTAAATTTTCAAATTCATGCTAAGGTTAAAAATAGGGAAAGAAATCTTTTAAAACGTATAAAATATAAATGTCTTTTGCTATGTCAGAATATCTAATTCAGTAATATTTGAAAAACTTCAAAACAAGATAAATGTTTTTGTTGTCTTAAAAAGAAATTGAATATGATAAGAACTAAAAAATAAGTGAATTCTGACTCATGGTGACCCTCCTTGAGAATCTAGAGGCTATAATTCTTTACCTGGGGAGATAACCTACTTTCTCCTGTAACGTAGATGGTGGATGGGAACCAACTGGTTCGTTAACTAAACCACTAAGCCGGCTGCCAGGCAGGTCTCTTAGATCACATACTGTTCTAATTGTTTTTAGGTGCCATTCAGTACACTATGATTTGTAGGAACTCTGTGAACAACAAATCAAAATCGAGCCTTTCCTGCCCCATTTTCATTATCTCTGCCATACTGCACCCCAATGTTAACAGTTACTCTGTCATCTTGTTGAGAGTATTCCTCTCGTTCTCTGATACTCCACCTTTTCCAGCATGAAGTCTTTTTCTAAGTACTGGCCACTTCTATAACATGCTCGAAATATGTGAAAAGAAGTTTTACCATCTTTGCCTCTGAGGAACACCCTGGCTGCACGCCCTTCAAGATAACACTTTTTTGTTCTTTAGACATGGGATATTCAGAAATCTTCCCTAGCACAACTCAAAGGCATCAATTACTCTTTGATCTTCTTTACTCACTGCCCACATTTCCGATGCATAAGCAGCAATTAGATCCATGGCTTAAATCAGGCATTCCTTAGTCTTTAAACACACATCCTTGCTCTTTTAGCACTTTGGAGAGGTTCTGGACAGATATTTTCCAATAAGACACATCTTTTGATTTTCTGACTGCTGCTGCAATGAATGTTGATTGTGAGTCCCAGGAAAATAAAGTCATTAACAACTTCAATCTTTTCTCAATAATGATATTGCCTATTATTGGTCCAATGGTGATGATTTTTTTGTTTCCTTGATGTTGAGATGTACTCTTGATCTTCTGCAGGAAGTGCCTCAAGTTCTCTTCACTTTCCAAAAGCAAGGCTACATAATCAGCATAACACAAGTTGTTGATATGTCTTCTTCCAATCTTAATGCTCCATTCTTCAAATAGTCCACTTTCTTAAATCATTTGTTCCTCATACAGATGGAGTAGGCATGGAGAAAGGGTACAACTCTGACACATCCTTTCCTGATTTTATACCATGCATTGTTTCCTTACTCCGAAAACTGCTTCTTGGTATATATATATCTGTTTTTCATGAGTGCAATTAATTATTCTGCACTTCCCATTCTCTTCAAACAAATCCATAATTTATTATGATCCACACAGTCAAATGCCTAGGTAAAGTCAATAAAACACAAGTAAAATTCTTTCTAGCTTTCTAATTTCAGGCAAGATTATTTTCATGTCAGCAACAATTTTTTTTTTATCCATGGCGTCTTCTGAATCTAACTTGAATTTCTGGTACTTTCCTGTTGCTATACTATTCCAGCCGTTTTTCATTAATCTTCATCAAGTTTGTATTTGCACATGATATTAATGTTATTGTTCCATAATTTAAACATTGTTAGATCACCCTTTTTTTTAAATGAAAAAAATATGGATCTCTTTGAGTCACTTGGTCAGGTAGCTGTCTTCAAAATTTCTTTGCACAGACAAATGAGCACATGTAGAGCTACATCTGTTTGTTGAAACACCTCAATTGGTATTTCATAAATTCCTGGGGCCTTGTTTTTCGCCAATGTCTTCACTGCAGCTTGTACTATCTATCTATCTTTAAGATATTTAAGATATTTTAAGATATGTGGGTAGACTTAAACTTCCAATGTTTCAGTTAGTAGTTGAGCACAATAACAATTTATCCTATTTGGGAACTCAGAAAAATCTTAGATCTTAAAAAACTACATGATTTTGTGGCATGCGTTGCCATCATAAAATTCCCAAAAAGATATCTCTTTTTGTGTGTGTGTGTGTGGCAAGTAAAATATAATGGTAAAAGAGCTCTTTTCATTATGTTGAGAATGGCCACCTTCTGACCTCGCTATGACTTTTCCTAAGACTTTAAAGATAGAGGGATTCCTGGTCAAGAAACAAAAGTAGAATCACTCCATTTCCCAATGGACTCAGGTAAAAACTGTTAACAGTATCCAGCACAACTATAAGAGGAGACACCAAAAAATAACCAAGCTTGCTCTTGGAGGAGTCACACATGAGGAGGCACAATACTTATCTAGGTTCACTATTATATCCCATTTAAAATTTTGGGACAATCTAATCTACTGAACATGTATGTGTGGGCAATCTTCTGGTGTCTTCCTTTGTTTTTATGCTTCTAAAGATGCACTAATGTAGTATTTAAATATGTAAGACCCTTGTGTATAAAAAAACAAGTGAATAAATAAAGGTAAAAAATAATACATTGCCATAAAAAATATAACTCAAAATTCACTGCTGTCGAGTCAGAACTGATTAACAGCTGACCCTCCAGCTTTGGGGGCTATAAATTGCATGGGGTATAATAAAATGCCCATCTTTCTCTCACAGGGCGGCTGGTAAATTTGAACCACCAGAGAGGTACCATCTTTGGGTTAGCAGTGCAACTCCGTATGGACTATGCTACCAGAGTTCCCTATAAAAAGTAGAAATAAAAGATGGACATATCTATTATATCTTCATAACTGATGTACTTGCTGCAGAAGGTCAAAGACTACAGCTTTCAATATGGATTGAGGCTCAATATCAAGAAAACAAAAATTCTCACCTCTGGGCCAACTGGCAGCATCAGGATGAATGGCAAAGAGATTGAGACTGTTCACAGCTTTAGTTTGCTTGGCTCCACTGTCAACACTCTTGGCACCAGCAACCAGGAAATTAAAAGACGCATTGTGATGGGAAAGTCGTTAGGGAACTCTCCAAAGTACTGAAGAGCAATGGTGTTACTCTGGAGACTAAGGTGCACCTGATACAGGCCAAGGTCTTTGCAATCACTTGCTATGCATCAGAGAGCTGGACAATGATTAGGGAAGATAGAAGGAGAATTGATGCCTTTGAGCTGTGGTGTTAAAGAATACTGAATATATCAGGGAATGCTAAGAAAACGAACAGGTTCATCCTAGAGATGGTTAAACCAGGCAGTTCCTTGTAGGTAAGGATTCTGAAGCTTCATCTGACATACTTTGGACATGTTCCAAGGATGGACTAGTCCTTGGAGAAGGACATCATGCTTGGGAGTGTGGGGGGACAGCACAAGAGAAGAAGACCCACTATGAGGTAGATTGATTCAGTGACAGGGATAATGGGGGTAGGTGTGTTAGAGAGTGAGACTGGCATAGGATAAAGCAGGGTTTAGGGCTGTTTGTTGTACATAGGGTCAGTATGAGTTGCAGGCGACTCGACGGCACATAACAAAAAAACCCCAACAATCTTGTTACTGTATAAATTAACCACATGCAAAAGAAATAAAATACTTATTTTATACTCATAACTTTTTTTTCTGGAATTTCATTCATAAGCAGGTCCTCAAACAGTATTTCACAACGATCAGCAACTGTGTTCAATATATCTCTCTTTATGGCCTATATATGAGGGGAAAAATCCAAGAGAAAAACTGCAGTAAGAAACAAAATTTATATTTATATTTAGTTTATTTTTTTACTAATATCATATTCATGCTCCTAAAAATAAATTATACATCATTCAATTTTTAAATATTCATTTAGCTTGGTTGTAAATACACTTAACAGTTCAGTGTCAAATTTTCATAGTACTTATCTAAATAATAAATTACAACCAAACAGATAAACTATTTATATTTAAGCAAACAATTCTAGTGTCCCACATTACAAAATATACAAATGTGACAAAAATGCAGTCAATTTTAAACTTCTAAACCAAATCAATTATAGAAGACTAGAGAATATATTGCTTCAAAAAGTGGAGGGTCAAGAAAAGAGAGGAAGACCCTCAATAAGATGGATTCACACAGTGACTGCATCAATGAACTTGAACAGGGCAGAGATTGTGAGGCAGGGCAAGATCTTGATCTGTTATTCACAAGGTAGCCATGAGTGGTAGCCGACTCAATAGCACCTAAGAGCTACACCTACAGCTGTTTCAATAATTTCTTTTCAGTTTAAGCAACTTAATTTTCCTCAGAAGAATGGATTTCAAATGTATTAATTTGTCCATCTCACCCAACCCAATGCTGTCAAACTAATTCTGATTCATAGTGACCTGTCATTAGGTTTCCGTGGCTGAAAATCTATATGGGAAGAGACTGCACATCTTCCTGAGAAGCAAATGGCAGATTCAAACAACTCACTTTCTGGTTGGCAGCAAGTAATGCACTATATCATGGGGGCTAACTGGTTCATACTGTAGAATAATTAATAAACATGTAAAATCACAAGTTTAAAAAAATACCAGATATCTAACATACGTAAAACTTAGGACTATATATTTGAACTACACAATATATGGGTCTTTATTAGTGTGAACTTAATAAAATTAATAATTGAAAAAAGATAAAATTCCAGGATTTTTACATAATTGTATTCAAGTGCTTTCGATTTTTTATATGCCAGTCATTTCTTTCCATACCTGTATAGCATCTTTAACCTTGGGTTTATGACTATGAATATAAGCTCTGCATCTCACAGCACCCTTAAGGTTTACAGAACCACTGCAAATCTGGACTGTGGCTGTGGATCGGTGGTCTGAATTAAGGAGCTGAAAGACAAAATCTGCTTTATCTCTAATGGTCAATAATTATCCATTACACAAAACATTTTAATTTCATTTGCTTCTTTATAAGTCATATGAATGTATTAAATGTAATGGGTATTTTTAATGTAACATGAAAGTAAAACACCTAGGTCAAAGTTGTTTTTCATTTTACTATAATAATGCCATCACTGACCGACAATCATTCGACTTATTTACTAAAAACAATTAATTCATTTACTGTTTGCTAATTATTTACGCAAGCATTGTGAAGGTGAAAACGTACATAAAGAAGGCATAATGAGAGATATCAATATAATGAAAGACATGCGTAAAATAATTGTTGACAAAGCAGGATGGGATGAATATGGTAAAAATATGATCAGTCTATAGACATTCATTTATACACATCAAACTTAAATCTTTTATATTAGTGTTATTCTCTAGAGCAAAAAAACAAAGTAAATTTGCCCCTCCTCAAATAATTGAATTTTCCCCTACTTCTAAAGCTGCTGAGTCACAGGGTGTTAAAACATGTGAGGAGATTTCCCACATTTTTCCTTCACAGTCACTGGTGATTCCAAACCACCAGACAGTTGTCATTGGTAAATTAGTAGCACAACAACCTAAAGGCTATGCCACCAGAGCTCCCTAATAATGGTATTAGTGGTTATAATTAGTCATTTCTATTTCATGCTACTATAACATCACTGTACAATTTATAAAAATTTGAAACAGGAACCTAATTTATTATGTAAACTTTCACTGAAAAGGTAATAAAATATTGAAAAAAGAAAACAAAGCAAAAAGGTTAACAACTAGAACAAAATACAAATCATCAGAAGATAGAAAGACTTGAAATGTGTAGTTATTGAAATGGCATTAGTAGTCAGTGCCTAATGACTAGTTACCACTATAACTCACAGAAAGCCTAGATTTGTTTGTTTTTAAACATTTTTTTTTTGTTTGTTTTTAAACATTTTAAGCACCAATGTCTCATTGGTTTAAAAATTTTAAAAAGTCACAAACCAGGTAGTTTTCTAAGATCCAGGTCCAATATAAAAACATCTATTATCAAAGTTACAAGCTGACACTGTATATGGAATAATAAGCTTTCTATAGCTAAGATGCACCTGATATAAACCTTGGTCTTTGCAATCACTTGCTATGCATCAGAAAGCTGAACAATGATTAGGGAGGATAAAATAATTGATGCCTTTGAGCTGTGGTGTTGGAGAAGAGTACTGACTATATCATGGACTGCTAAGAAAACAAACGGGTTCTTCCTGGAGAGGGTTAAACTAGGCTGCTCCTTGGAGGCAAGGATTCTGAAGTTTCGTCTGACATACTTTGGACATGTTACAAGGAGGGACCAGCCCTGGGAGAAGGACGTCATGCTTGGAAGGTTTGAGGGACAGCACAGGAGAGGAAGACCATCTATGAGCGGACTGATTCAGTAACTGGAATAATAGGGGCAGGTGTTTCAGAGCAGTGAGATTGGCACAGGATAGAGGCTTTAGGGCTGCTGTACATTGGGTCACTATGAGTTGCAGGCAACTTGACAGCACATAACAACAACAACAGCATTTGTGGAGATCATTAATATATCATGAGGTGAAAGGAATAAGATTTCCTCATTTATCCCACTGATTGTCACTGTAAATTAAACTACTTCTGGAAAACAATACCCTACTTGTAATAGCTGATAAAAATTATATTTAAGTAACTCCAAAACCTAAATTCACAGTCATCAAGTCTACTTAAAGTCATAGCAACCATGTAGGGAATAGTTTGCAAGGCTACAAATCTTTATAAATACAGAGTCCCTCACTGTTATCCCTTGGAGTGGCTAGTGGGCTCGAACCACTGAGTTTTCAGTTGGCAGTCAAATGCTTTTACTCATAGTGATATACTATTAAATGGGTCCTCATAATGCAGTGGTTAAACATGGTTGATAACCAAACGTATGGCAGGTGAAACATAATAGCTGCTTGTTGAAGACAAGCAAGACAGTAAGCTTCTATAAAGATATATAGCCTTGGAAACCCTATGGGTCAGTTTTACTCTGTCCTAGAGGGTCACTATGAGTCTGAGTTGACCTGGGGGCCTACAATGATACAAACACTATTACCTTTAAAGATAAAACTCTCTATGTTCCTATATTCTACAAATCTCTCAACTGTAATCACTAAAATAATTTAAATATATGGCTTAATAAACAAACAAAAAATCACATAAGCATAACAAGTGAAGAGCAGTCACCTTAAAACAAAAGATACTTCTAAAATAAAAAAAAGAAAATGAAAAATACTTTAAGGTATATAGAGTTGTTATTGTTGTTGCTGTTAAGTGCCGTTAAGTCGTAGGCGACTCATAGTGACCCTATGAACGAAAGTCCTTAACACTTATTTGACTTTTATCCTTTTTCCAGGTTCATAGGGTTTTGGAGGCAAGCTATTACAGAAGTGGATGCCACTCCTGCTTCCAAGCTTGTTTTAATTAGGGAGTTCCACCAAACATTGTCCACCATGGGTAACCATTATCGCATTTGACACATCAGTGTCACAGTGTTCAGCTTCACAGAAACCACAAGTTACCTCTGTACGGCAAGGGGACACACCAGGACCACACGACCTTTGATTTGGTATACTGAGAGAGAAGTGAGATTGAGAAGTAATGTGAAGCGGTTTTAAGTCGAGTAGCAATTTAGTAATCTGCTACTGATAAGCATATAGAAAGAAGGACAAGAAAAAATGAAAATATCATCATCTATCAAACTACTTTTAATTTAATTTTATTCCATTTAAAAATGCTACTTTTCCTATATTTTTATTTCAAGTATTCCAGTTTAATATTGAAATCTAAAGATTCCTAAAAATGTAAGTGTGCCATATGTTTGTTCTGGAGAATATAAGTTTGTTCTCCAGAATAAAACGACTTTCTGAAAAGGATTAAAATCAAAAGCATGTATACTTTAATGAATAATTAGTAGTTTAAACTTTTTATTCTTTTAAGATGTCAAAGTTTAAACTCCTGAAGAGTTATTTGCTAAAAAAAAAAAACAACTTACTAATATTCTTATTTCTATAAAATCAGATGACGTATTAAGCCTACTTCAAATCAAATATATGACAACTTTCAGCATATGTGTCCACACATACACATGTTTTTGTTATGTATTGTTGAATAAGCACACACTCATAGCTGACCCTCTAGCAAGTTTTCAGAGACAGTAATTGTTTGAGAGGAGACTGATTATCTCTCTTCCATGGAGCAGCTGGTGGAGTCGAACTGTGTGTTTCTGGGTTGGTAGCACAGCTCTTCACCACTAGACTACCATATCTAGCTCTCCATATCTGTATTAGGGTTATTTGTTGTTTTTTTATGATCAACTTGATATTAAAATTCCAATAACTTTAAGGTAAAAAAACTTAAGGAAATTTTATTAAAACATGCTTCTTGTGAGTAACTTTTCTAGAACTAGATATTTTATATACTTTAATCTCTAAAGCTCTTTAATTCTGTATTTATAAATATATAAACAAAAAGCTGTCATTATGGTTATTCTAATAAATACTGTCTTTTCAATAAGTGGTATTTAAGTACTTACCAACTGCGTTAGAACCCTAACATCAAAAGAATGATGAGTCGCTTGTATATTTCCCCTCGAAGATTTTTTCTTTATAAAAAGAAAGTAAAAAAACACAAATGTAGACATTAAAAAGTCATACTTTTGAGAATTCAGCTGAAACATAAAAGATAATTTAGGATCGGTTCTAAATAGCAAAAGAATTAGGGAAAAAAGTTAAGTATTGCTACTTCTTTTTGTATTTCGGTTCTTCCTATACGTGTCTTATTTTCCTAGCGCGCTTATAACAGAAATAGCACGAGCACTGGCTTAAAAGAACAGAAGTTTATTTTCTCATAGTTCAGGAGGTTAGAGGCTAGAATTTCGGGCACTAATATTAGGAGAAGAGTTTTTCTATGTTAGATCCAGGGTAAGATCTTTGCCTTTTCAGCTTTGTGAAATCTACCTTCCTCCCTCTTTTAAGCTTGCTTCCTCTCTTATCTGCTTTTTAAAAATACCTCAGAGTAGGAAATGCTATGATTGATATTGCTAATATGAAAATCATATTCTTAAATAATACTACATCTGTAGGTATAGAGGTTAGGATTCAAACATGTATTTGGAGGAAGATTCAGATTTTGTCTGTACCAATAGGTATGTAACATTGCATATTCTACAGCAAAGTGTACTCACGTAAATTGTTAGTATGATAACAATTCACTAGCCAGGACTACCAATCTAATCCTATGGATCAAATTCAGACTGCCACCTGTTTGGTAAACAAGGTTTTATTGGAATACAAGTAACACAGAATATGTAACACATTTATATATTGTCTATGGGTGCCTTTATGCTACAACAGCAGAGCTGAAGTGACCATCTGGTCTGAAGAGATTGAAATATTTACCATATGATCCTGTACATAATGTTTACTGACTGCTGCTTTAAAGCAAGAGAAGACCAAAGTTTCCCTTTCTTATGGTTAAAGCTATTTTAAAAAGCCTTAGAGCGTCTTCATTTAAAATGGCCCTACTTAGCCCGGAAACTGTTATTAAAGCAAAACCTTTAGTTTAAAACAAGTAGTTTATAATATGAAGAAAGTTCAGATTACATGACAGACCCTTCTTTAGGGTTTTTTATTTCACTTAGATTAGGATTAATCTTCCTTTATCATTTTCTGAGGAAAAAAATATTTCCATTGTAGAAATAAATACATTTCTAATTCCATTAGAAATGTGAATTATAACTAGTTTCTCAGGTTTTTTGCAATATAAATTGGTTTTGACTTAAGCAAATCTCTTTTTTTTAGGTTCTATTGTTTTCTTACCTTTTATTGTATCTTCATAAATTCTATCTTTATTCATCTTTGGTTGGAAATACTACAAAAAATCTTATAGAAAGCAACAGCAAATTATGTACTAGTATATTGTATGGAAGGGAAATACCTGTAAACACTTTTTTCATGAAAGCAAGGACTAAAGATAAGTTTACCTTTCTTATTCTTCAGGATAAATAATGTTTTAAGTACGATAAATATCTCTTTATTTACCTGCCCTTCTAGTAGGTCACAATCTTCATCCTTAACTTGCCCATTAATCAAATATACACCATTTTCTATTTGCTTGGCCCAACGTGTAAGTCCATTCTTAAAAGAAACAAAGCATGGATATTTAATAATTTACAATGATAATTATAAGACTCAATTTATTAAACTGTAATGATATATAAGTTAAAAATGTCCTATACTCTACTGAAGTAATACTAGAAACAAAGTATTTAAATTCAGTCTTCTAAATGAATAAAAAATCTATATCAAATTTTTAAAACCATGACCATAGCTTCTACTCTTTGACCTTTGTCCAAAAGTAAAATTTATATTATAGATTCCAATAATGCTACATAATATCAGTAAAATAAAATTCAGCTGCATCCAGTATCTTTTTTTCAAAAAGTCTGCCGTTAGGGACCTCTCAAACGTACTCAGGAGCAACAGTGTCTCTCTGGAGACTAAGGTGCGCCTGATACAGGTCATGGTATTTGCA